TTATGTCCGTGTCGATCCATCATCTTGGATCATTTCCCTTAGACGATGTTTTTTCTGAAGTTATTTATCCTCGTGTAGCTATGCATAATCAGATGGTGCGTTGAACTCCAAACATATATTGTTTTTTTGACTCAAGCTTCTTTAGCATTACTAAGCATTGGCTGCAAAATGCTACATTGTCCAATAATTTTTTTTAAGTTGAGACTGTTTGTCAAATTTATCTTCCCTCTTTTTCTGGGTGTTGGGGGTTTATTGATTAAAATGCCAACTACGTTTCATGCTGCTGCATCTTTGTTTCCTGATGTGGTAGTTATAGGTTCATTCATTTGTCTCTGATTTTCTCAAGAAATTGAACTGAAGGTCTGTATGTAAAGCAGCTTGAATGTAGAAAACATTTTTGTGGGCTGTATTTCATGTCTGTAAAATTTTGTTGCATCCATCTGGGTCCTGTACATTGTCATTGTCGTCTTTGAGGTTCAATGCTCTGACTATGTTGGCCATTGCCACAGTATAATACCAAATCATAGTTGCACAGGTTGTTTCTTGTAAGGTTCTGCCTTACAGATTGCTTTCTGTTGCATTGAAAGTGATTTCTGGTGGCAAAGATGTATCCGAGCCTCTTAGGAATGCAAATACATAGTTAACAGGGCAAGAGTTGTAGAATATAAAATCTCATGTTTTTTTCAACCTTTTTCTTCTTTTCAGCTCATGTTGGGTCTTAATGTCTGCTTNGTAGAATATAAAATCTCATGTTTTTTTCAACCTTTTTCTTCTTTTCAGATCATGTTGGGTCTTAATGTCTGCTTAAAACTAAATAGTTCCTAAGCTTGAGCAAAGAAGTTAGATACTTGTACTGAGTTTGCTACCTTTGTTCTGATCAGATTAGCCAAAGGGTTTTTGAGGTGATGAGAAATGAATGNTTAAAACTAAATAGTTCCTAAGCTTGAGCAAAGAAGTTAGATACTTGTACTGAGTTCACTACCTTTGTTCTGATCAGATTAGCCAAAGGGTTTTTGAGGTGATGAGAAATGAACGNTAATTTTATGGGATCTCCAGCGAGATCTTCTCTTTCCATTCGCAGGATCTCCTTTGATTTTAAAAGAGGATCTTAGTAAGTTAAGAATTTAGTGCCTTGATTATAGTCTTTTGTTGCTTCGGNGATCTCCAGCGAGATCTTCTCTTTCCATTCGCAGGATCTCCTTTGATTTTAAAAGAAGATCTTAGTAAGTTAAGAATTTAGTGCCTTGATTATAGTCTTTTGTTGCTTCAGAGGTGCCTCCTGTTGACCGACTGTCTCCTTATTTCCTTTATAGCCTCCTTTGAGAGGAGCTCGAGGTTTGGATCATAAAGTTCTGGCCATTTTATCATCTAACCTTCGCATTTGAATTCATACTTAAAATTTATTTTAGGTATCATCAGAAACAAACAGAAAGAATCGATTGACACAACAAAAAAGTTTGAGAATTTAATTAAAACAAAAAAAAAAAAAAAAATTTAATCTGACACAAAAATTATAATTTGAGAACCGTAGTTTACTCACCAAAAAATGAATTTTAGGTGGTAGTTTTAGATGAGAGCTTGGTGGTTAAAAAGGTCGGTGCCTATAACGTAGTCCAAAAATAACACCAGAAACAATGAGAACCGTCCAAAGTTGGCAATCAACGTCATGAATTCCAGAACATTAAACTGCGTGCCCGCACCGAGTCTGCATACCTTATTTTCTGGGTGTCTGACTGTCGACGACAACATTTTTCCACGTCGGCTTAACGACAGATTCCTACTGCTAAATCAAAATGACACACCCACCGTTGAAAATATCCAAAGAAAAATCTATAGACCAAAACTTTTATTAAATTTTGATATATATATATAATATTTATCAAAATTTTTATAAATTTTGACTCCCAAATATGCGAATGATTAGTAGGTTTGACTCGGGACGGTCTAAGATATTTTGGGGCCTAAAATGGAAATAATAAATGAGAATTTTTTTTTTAACATTAATAATATATATTTTTTATTTTTTGAAATGTAAAAATAGTAACTTAATTTTTATATTCAAGTTTTTGTTATGATAATTAAATTTGATGGTAAGAGAGGGAGAGTGAAAAGGGAAAAGAGAATGATCGGAAAAACTATGATAATAAATTTGATTTTTTTGGGGGTTAAGACTTAATTTTAAATAGGTTAGTTTTTTTTTTTTTAAAAAACATTAAATTTTAATACCTTTTAATTTTATAGGTTGAATTAATAGGCCCTACCTAGTCAAGTTGAAAATATCTTGTTTGAGTTTAACTCTTGAGTTTTTTTGGGATCCTTGGAAATCGGTAGCATATATAAGTTTTATTTGGGAGAAACTCTTTTTTAAAAAACATATTTTATAAAAAGTCCACACAATTTTCATAAACAAAACACAATTTTCGTTGGTCTAGCATAGAACACATAACCAAGGATACTAGTCGTCTTGAAGAACTTTCGATTGCTGGAATAGTTCATTCACCCAAAAAAAGGGTTATAGAAACTTAAAAGACGTCTTCTTGAATCATGAAAACCGTTATGGATTGCCCTCAAACACGAAATTCTCTTTAATCTTCAAATGAAAAATCATTGATTTCGTTCGTTCCAAATTTTTGAACGAAAATCATTAATTAAGTTAATTTTTAATTTATAGAAAAACATAAACATAAGTTCAATTAACTAATAATAAAATTTTAAGCATAAAATTTTTTATTTACGACTTATATGTGTCAATACAAACACGAGACAAAAATAAATAAATCGATACAATTAATTAAATAGATTGAGTTAAAATTAATAAATTTTAAAATAGCATAACACAAATACGATCCAACCCGGCACAATTGCAACCCTATGTGACACATGTATAACATGATATGTAATTGGGTTCACAAATTATCAAATCTCCATAAATCCTTTGACATTGATGTGAACAAAAAATAAGGAAAGTTAATGGATTTACCTACTCAAGGGCCCCAGTCAATGTCCCAACAACCAACCTTTGGTTTTCCTTTTCTTAGGAAACAAGAAGCTTCGAACGTGGGAAGAGACAGCCACATTGCATAGATCCATAAAAATTATTAAAAATGACCTACTTTAGTTATATTAGTTAAATCGGTTATTGCCAAAAAGCCATGTAATAAGCATTGAAATCTTCTTTTTTTTGTGGGTCTCCAAAATTAAATTTGATTGACTCAATCAAAGTCCACAAGGACCACAACACACAAGAATGAAAGAAGAGGTAGAGTCAATGTAACGGCAACCCCAACTTAAAGAGTTCGAGGTTGTGTTTTCGATTTTTTTTTTTTTTTTGAGGAGGAGTTGTGGTTCAATTCAAACCTAATTTCAATTTTTTGGACATAACTTTGAACCCACTAATTTGGGTTGAACTTAAGCGTATGTGTAAAATTATGGTTGATTGATAATATTTAAGATAAACAATTCTATGTTATAGATGCCTTGACTTCTCAATATTTTTCAATTGTATGTTAGTCATCTTGGGTTGGTGGGTATCTGTTGATTGTTAATTGGTGGGTATTTGATGATTGTTGATATATAAAGAGTTTTGTTTAGACGTAGAATTTAGCACCTAATTAATATTTTTTTTATTTAATAGTTAGGAGTATTTGAATCAATTTACGTATATCTTAATTATTTTTTTTTTGATAAGATCAAAAGCAAAACATCCTGTCCGGATTAAGATATTCATGAAGAATAAGTTCTCTAATTTAAAAGAGTTGTCAAAATTTAAATTAAAAAAAAATTAAACTTATAATTTGTTTCTGTTACTATTTGAGCTATCTTCGGGGTTCGCTCCAAATTATCATATGGAGAGTTACCTTTAGAGAAAAAAAAATTCAAGGTGATTGAATCCCTAACATAACAGTAGCACTGTTTTTCTTATTTTTTTTTAAAATAAAAAAAAGAGTAATGTTACATGAACTTAAAAAATGGACTTAAAAATTAAACTTGATAATTACAACTATTGATTTTATTGTAGGCCCTACTATTTATTGAAATTCACTATTTATTTAATGATCAAGATTATCAAGTTTAATTTTTAAATTTATTTTTTAATTTCATCTAGTGAAAAAAAATGATCGAGACTTTGCATAATAATTACAAGGTAACATGACATGACCACTATAGAACCCAATGCCGTTCCGCAGCGTTCAGTTGAAACCGTTGCCCATATGAGTTTATGATCGTTAATCATTGACTTTTGGCTTTTATGGGAACATTTCACCCTCAAATTATGGGGAATTTCTATCGTTAATGAAAGGTGTGGGTTATAGTTTTAAAAGATATGATTTATCATTAAATTAGTTATTACTTGTGTTTAAAGGCACATGATAATAAAAAATAAAAAATAAAAAATAATAAATGTATTTATATTTATATTTAAAATCAAATCATAAACATAAAGGAAAGATAAATTAATTTAAATATCGATTGTAATGGGGATGAGAGGTGGTAAGCGACAGTGATGGTGATAGGAGACGGTGATGGTTGTGGTGGGTGGCAATACTGTGGTGGCTATGGTGGCGACGACGACGGTGATGGTGGTGGTGGCGACAGCGATAGCAATGGTAGCGATAGCGATGGTAGCGGCAACGATAGTGGTGACAACGATGGTGGTTGTAGAGGTAGTTGGTGGTGGGTGTAGTGGTGGTAGAGGTAATGGTGGGACAGTTTCAAACACTATTTTTTTTTTAAAGTACTTATGAAAAATAATTTTTAAAAATAATTTTAAAAAGTCACTCCAAAAACATCCTCAGAGACTTATTTTTTTTTTTAATTAAATTTAGGGTGTTAATATTAGCGGTTAGATTAATTTTAAAGTAAAATTTAAAGCGATCTGAACAGCGAAAACAAAAATCATTTTGTTTATTTTTTGAGATTTAAATTGTAAATTACTTTATTATATAAATATTAAAATTATTATTGCGTTTTTCATNATTAGCCAAAGGGTTTTTGAGGTGATGAGAAATGAACGCTCTGGCGATGCTTCACTTCGGGGCTTAAAGATAACAGGACAGGATGGTTCAAAAGGACTTCCGCAGAAAGAAAACAACTATAATTCTGATGCTTGCTTCAATAAAGCAGATGGAGGCAACCATTTGGTTTCAGAGAATGATGGTAGAAATAAAAGCAAACCATTTGAATTGTACAAAAGACGCACAACTGTAGTTGTAAGAAGAACAACGTTCTTAGATGTTGTTTGTGATGCTCTTGCTGAATACAAGTATTTAGGTCCCAATCAGCGGTCTGATTTGATTTTGGCTTGCAGGTAGAGTTTTGCATCCTATCCTCGTTCAAATTTACATTTTCAATGAGCAGTTTCCTCTTGGAAAGAACTCTTCTTTGCTAACCATTTTGTTGATGTAACTGGGCATCCATTGCCATTTCTTTGCTTCATATGTTGCGTTGCACTCTTTATGCCTATGAGAGCATTAATGTAAGGCCTAAATATAAATCTTGTTTATGATACATATTGAAGCTTTCTATTGTTGAACGAGGGAAAGCATACCAGTTAAAATGCATATTTAATCCATACGTAGTCCTCATACCACAAATTCTCTGCAGCCCTACACGCTCATTAATCTCCTTTTCCAATTGTGTTGTTTTAATGCCCTTCTAAATGAATTTTTTCACACCTCCATTAACAAATACAACCTTTGGTATTGCTGCCTCTAGTGGTGCTCGCATTCTATACTTATTTGGTAAGTTTTCATAGGGCATTTGAGTTGACTTGATCTCTGTTCCTCAACATTTTTTGTACATATACTGTACCTTCAATGGCCAAGTTTGTCTAGAGATGTATGGTGTTTGGTAGTTGAGCCTTTGCATCAAAATCAATGAAATGATGAGTCCTCTTGTGTTCATGGTAGAAAATAAAATTCCTTGAAATATTGGGTGTTGGGTCTGCATCACATCAGTGTAATGGGGTCTATGCATTGGGGAGAACTTTTGGAAGAACCCTTTTTTTATGATGTAAGTAGCCTGAGTTCATCTAAAGGTAAAAATGAGACCCATAACATAATAGTATATTACATGTGGAAGGAGTGATAGGTGGGATTACCACTTAGTTAATTATATCAGTTACTGCTCCATTGCATTGAGTCAGGGAAATTAATTGTAGCATTGTGCCTCAAGTTGTGTTTCTTATTAGCTGTTGCAGTTTGTGTGTTTGCGGGCATGAGAGGCTTCATCTTTTCGGTCCAGTTTTTTCTGATTACATTGTATCTTTAATTTGCATAAGCTATTCTCTGTCTTCGTATTCTCTAAGAAAATACTTTTTTGTTTCAGAATCCGGGAAAGGAAGGAGTCTGTTACTGTGCTTTTGTGCGGTACTAGTGGCTGTGGCAAATCTACTTTGTCCGCACTGCTGGTATATATATTTTGTTGGCCAAAATACGGTTTTTTTTTTTTTGGTTTTTTTTTTTCTGCTATTCTATGCGCTGGAGTAGTCATGGTGTATTTGGTCTTCCTTTCCGTTATTTATGGTGTACATTTTTAGTTTTTTCCATTGAATAGATTTTATGATCTGGAGAATTTTATTGTTCCCACCTATACTACTATCATTGCATTTTCTTGGACTGTGGTTTTGTGGCTTTTCGGAATCTGGACTGTTGAATCATGACTGAACTTAGAAACATGAAGTTAGGTGATGCTTGTGTCTGAGTCTGAATGTTGCATTTTGGAGAGTGTAAACATATATGAAAAATTGACTGACCAGTCACCATACATTGAAGATATATTGAATTGATTTCTGTTATCCAGACTTTGAGCGCTTCCTGAATAATTTTTTGCAGGGGAGCAGGTTGGGGATCACAACTTTGATATCCACCGACTCAATACGGCATATGATGAGGAGCTTTGTAGATGAAAAACAAAACCCTCTACTTTGGGCTTCAACTTACCATGCTGGAGAATACTTGGATCCTGTGGCTGTTGCAGAAGCGAAAGCAAAAAGGAAAGCAAAGAAATTAGCTGGCATTTCACGCCCTTCACTAACAAAGGATGATTTATTTGATGGTTCCTCAACTGGAAAATCACCTCCTGAGGGTGGTCCTAGTACTGCTGAATTGATCGGTCCAAAACAGATGGCGGTTGAAGGATTCAAGGCACAAAGTGAAATGGTCATCGACAGTCTTGATCGGCTGATTACTGNCGCTTCCTGAATAATTTTTTGCAGGGGAGCAGGTTGGGGATCACAACTTTGATATCCACCGACTCAATACGGCATATGATGAGGAGCTTTGTAGATGAAAAACAAAACCCTCTACTTTGGGCTTCAACTTACCATGCTGGAGAATACTTGGATCCTGTGGCTGTTGCAGAAGCGAAAGCAAAAAGGAAAGCAAAGAAATTAGCTGGCATTTCACGCCCTTCACTAACAAAGGATGATTTATTTGATGGTTCCTCAACTGGAAAATCACCTCCTGAGGGTGGTCCTAGTACTGCTGAATTGATTGGTCCAAAACAGATGGCGGTTGAAGGATTCAAGGCACAAAGTGAAATGGTCATCGACAGTCTTGATCGGCTGATTACTGAATGGGAAGAGCGGACAGAATCTGTAGTTGTTGAGGGTGTCCACTTAAGCCTAAATTTTGTGGTAGAGCTCACACTTAATTGTGGGAATTTCTTTCTGGCATAAGGCTTCCCTTTATGTTGGTGGTCAATTCTGATCTCAGTTGTATTTTGATTATGCAGATGGGGCTTATGAAGAAACACCCTTCAATTATACCATTCATGATATACATCACAAATGAGGAGAAACACATGGAACGGTTTGCAGTCCGTGCAAAGTACATGACATTGGAACCTGCTAAGAACAAGTATGTAAAATATATTCGAAACATCAGAACAATCCAAGAATATCTCTGCAAACGAGCCGACAAGCATCTCGTGCCAAAGATAAATAATACCAATGTTGATAAGAGTGTGGCAGCAATCCATGCAACACTTTTCAGCTGCCTACGAAGGCGTGTGGGAGAGCAGCTTTACGATCCCATCACAAACACAGTTGCTTTAATTGATGAGGAGTACAGGAATCAGTGTGTTGCCAATTCTTTGAGCTCCAAAGGAATGTTCCAACTGATCCAACGTAAAGGTTCTTCTAGGCATTTGATGGCTCTTCTTAATACTGATGGTTCTGTGGCAAAGGCTTGGCCAGTTGACACGGTAGATGGTAATGGCAAGCCTACTCCAGGCCGTTCTACTGAGAATGGGGTAGGAACACCGATGTATGGGCCATTGCAGATAGGTAAGGCTGAACCTATTAATCTGCAGTTTGGTCACTTCGGGATCAGTGCTTGGCCCATTAATACTGGTGGCACAAGTCATGCAAGCAGTGTTGACGACTCAAGGGGTGACTTAACTGATAATGGTAGTAGATATTACTCTTCCTGCTGCAGCTCACCAAGGGCTTCTGATGGACCTGCCAAGGAGGTATGTTTTGAAATATATGCTCACAATCTTGCTAGATCTTCCGTTAGTTGAAAGTTCTTTTGTTTATGAGAAGCAAGTTTTCGTGTGTCTAGTCAAAGTTCAATTAATGTTATTAGGACATGTAGATCTGCATTAGCAACATGATATTCTGGTTTTTATCTTTTTATTTCGTTGGTCACTGCTTCTAGCTTTGGTTTTCAAACTGTGTCCTTATTCCCTCTTTTCCTTATGCCCGTGCTTTCCCTTTCTACGTTCAGCTCAAAGAGGAACACTCCGTGCATGGTAGTGATGAAGAGGTTGATGATCCAACGGAGGTAGACAGCGATGAGGATCTTAGTGATGACGGTCAAAAACAGTTACATGAAGAGGTATGTATGAGCGGTAATTGTCATTTAAGAAAATCAATTTCTAGGTTACCATAAGCTCCCCCCTTGAACAGACTCTTAAAAGTTTGNAAAACAGTTACATGAAGAGGTATGTATGAGCGGTAATTGTCATTTAAGAAAATCAACAGACTCTTAAAAGTTAGGTTACTTCCAGCCTCTACGGAGGAGTTTTCAAATGTTTGACTAACAACAAATGGTGAACGATGAGTATTGTGTCATTGTATTCTAAGTCCTAGTGTGGACCTCAAATGGAGGTTGACGATTCGGTGGTCGTTAGTTCTATCTGCCTGGGGGCGATGGAGGGATTCTTATTGTTGACAAGCAGTTCTACATGAACTAATTTATTTATTTTTGTCCCGATTTTGCTTCCGTTTCTACACCCTTTACATGGAATTTTCTCCACTTTACAGATGGAAGGCTCAGTTGATGAGGAGTCTACTAAATCAGATGAGGAGTATGATGATCTCGCCATGCAGGATGTTCAAGAGAATGGCTACTGGTCTGATGATGATGAGGAGTTCAAGAAGAAACTGGTGCCTCATTCAGAGAACCGATTCATTGATGGGGTTAATAGTGTCCATGGAGATAAGTACAGGCAAGATATTGACCCCATCTCGAGATCTAAAAGTGAACCTGTGTCTGCGCCACCACTACTTTCTTACTCTTCTCTACTTAAGGAAAAGAATGAGAAGAGAGTGTCAACTNCATGGAGATAAGTACAGGCAAGATATTGACCCCATCTCGAGATCTAAAAGTGAACCGGTGTCTGCGCCACCACTACTTTCTTACTCTTCTCTACTTAAGGAAAAGAATGAGAAGAGAGTGTCAATTTATGGCAATGTCAAAACTAGAAGACGATCTCAGAGCATTCCAATGTTGGGAAAGCATAGTTTGCAGATTAATAATCCTCCCCTCTCAGAAGCCCACCAGAGGTAGGGCTACAGTTTTGCATACCTTTAATAACTGTATCCTTCTTTTTTACCTAAATACTCGATCACCCTTTTCTCTTGTCGTTGCATCACAGAAGATTATATGAGGCAATTCCTCCTTTTGTGTAAAGAAATGTGTGCAGATCTGTGACTTGAGGGAGGCCTTGGAAATTTTTTTAAAAATTTTTTTCTAGCAATTGTTTTCCCACGTTCCAAATGGACACATTAGGCTGCTGTCTGGAAACCATTACAGTAGCAACCCTCAAACAAAAGGTGAAATATAGGAAATAGTTGTCTTGAAGAAACATCTAGGTAAGCAAATGGTGGTGCTGGTGTTTGTTCGATTGGAAGGTTTGGTGGCGATGAGGCCTAGACTAAGGGTCGTTCGTGCAGAAAACCAAGTTACATACTGGGTGAAGCTTAGTACTTCAGACCTTTCAATCCTGCAACTTTATTAGCAGGGGCCGCTCGCACGCTTTAAGGGCTGTTGAAGGTATTGCACTATGATAGACTCCTACCGTCGCTAAAGGTAAGATTTTAAAGCCACTTAAGCAATTTCTTTAAAAAGAAGAGCAAACAAGATAAGGCTTTTCAGCCACGTACCGTGCAGGAGTGTAAGTCAGGTAGGATCCATTATGAATCTTTGATTTCATTGATTAGTATCTTTAACTCACTGAATTATAATTTGTATTGGGACGGTACCGAGTCGATATCCTATGCTTTTTCCGTTTACAAAGGTGACATAGGCACTTCATATAATGGATGTGAGGTACAGAAGCACACTATTAGAATGTGAGCTGTGATTGACTATATATCTGCCCCACTAGTTTGGACCTTGAGCCTGTGGATGACAAAAAAGGGTGCTCTGTTATCACTTTAACCCCGCTACATCTTGTTCAAATTGGATTCTCAATGTACGTTGCTATCTCTTGAATAGTGACCTAAATGGTCCTTCTCTCCTTCACTTGCATGCATTGTCTGCCCCTTTTAACACCCACTGGAGGAAAGGCTAGGACCACAGAATTATGTTGGATCACTGCCTCTTTCAAGGCTCAACTATGTGCTTTTTCTGTTTTCTGAATTTGTGGGTATGAGAGAGAGAGGGGAAAAAATATTCGGTGCTTATATAAGTCACGAGGTGACAGTGTCATGTGGTGTCTACACTCAATAAAAAATTGTTACAATACCTGTCTGTCGGACCCACAAGTTGATTTTTCAACTCCAAAAATGGCAGAAATTAATTGGTGACCTAGGTATCTGGTAAGTTCCTCAAATTAGATCCTATAACATTGCTCCGAGAACATAAATGATGATTGGGTCAAACTCCATAACATCCCCCTGCAATACTGGAATGAACAAGGGCTTAGCTACATTGCCAGTGCAGTGGGGAAGCCCCTCCATGCTAACTCCTTAACAACCAGGAGGAAGAGGATTAGCTATGCAACGATATGCATTGAAATAAATGCAGCCGAGAAGCAAATAATTCCCACCCATAACCATCCATTGTAAGTCCAAATAGCCCTGCAATTAACCCTTCACATGACCCATTACCACCATTTGCTAACCTACCTAGTTGCAGCAATCCAAATCCAGCCTACATTCAAGCACTTACCAAATTACTAGCCCCCCCCTCCAACCACAAAAATGGAAAGTCAAATTAATATATTTAGCTGCACCATAAATACCATACCTCATGTAAACCAGATAGTACCTAAAACTATCACCTCCCCCAAGAAGTTTGAATGCCTTGCTGTGGAAGAAGGCCAAATTGTGGTGGACCTCTCCTCAACATCAGACAAACACAGTGGAAGAATCTACTAATACGCATCCTAGTGTGGACAAAGCTGAGTCTAGCAGGCCAACTGACACTAATAAGAAGAAGAAAATCTTAGAAAAAGAGAGAGCCAATGTGCCTGAGCACCTATTAAACTCAGGAAACCTATCTCCTTATGTTAAATCTGGCATGTTGGAACATTAGAGGATTAAACAAATCCTCTAAGCAGGGAGTTTTATGGAGCTAATTAGAGATCAACACCTAGATCTACTAGGAATAGTGGTGATGATGTTCTTAACACGATTGAACATTGATGAGAATATAAAGTGCACTGAACAGTTAAGTTTAGTTCAGTCTGAGCTTCAAAGCTCTTGGAAGTAGGATCTAGGAATAGGTGGATGATCACACAGAGTGTTTATGATGGTTCACCAGCTTAGGAGCTTGACNTTGGAACATTAGAGGATTAAACAAATCCTCTAAGCAGGGAGTTTTATGGAGCTAATCAGAGATCAACACCTAGATCTACTAGGAATAGTGGTGATGATGTTCTTAACACGATTGAGCATTGATGAGAATATAAAGTGCACTAAACAGTTAAGTTTAGTTCAGTCTGAGCTTCAAGGCTCTTGGAAGTAGGATCTAGGAATAGGTGGATGATCACACAGAGTGTTTATGATGGTTCACCAGCCTAGGAGCTCGGCNCTTCAAAGCTCTTGGAAGTAGGATCTAGGAATAGGTGGATGATCACACAGAGTGTTTATGATGGTTCACCAGCTTAGGAGCTTGACCAATCCACTCTCAATGGAGTCTCTTGCTCCTGAATATATTGATTATTGGGGAGTTTACATAAAGTATTTTAGTTAGGCTACAATGGCTTGTCATTTTTTTTCCCGACGGCTTTGCCTCCTACTTATAGTTATCCCTGGGTCTAGCTTGTCTGAGGTGAGATCCTTGCCCCTCCTTTGTAACGATCGCCTTTATTGCGCGGTTGCAATGGATGTCAGGGCGGTTACGAGACTTGCGCCTGTTGAGTAACTGTTGCTACAAAGGGGGTACTTGGTGGGATCCAGCTATCCTCTGAACAGCCTTGAGATGTAGACATAGGGAATTAAGGTCTGAGGTCGAGGTCTGCAAGTATCGCAAATGAGCTGAGCTCCCGACCTAAGTGGCATGACCTGTGTTACCGAGCTCATCCTTGGGCATTTTTGTGGTACCATCAGTTGCCCACCAGTCCCTGGTCAGACAAAGTTGTATGAGCTAAGACTGAGCTCTGGGTGAGTGAGGTTACTTTGGATAGACCTCGAGATGAGCATGATTGGACATGTTTTGACAGTTATGGCAAACGTGCAATCATTCCCTCCTCATTTCTCATGCACGCCCCTTACCTTACGGCTCCACGTGTCCGTTCGTATGCTTAGCCTTAAATACATCATCAAATAACTGCCTCTTTCATAATTTTGAACCCTCTTTGTCTTCTTTCTCTTCAGATTCTTCTCTTGCTCTTATCTTCCCCAATTCGTTGAAGTTCTAGGGTTTTTTAGAAAAATTCCCAATTTTACTCTGAAGGTTTTTGCGAGGCTGGCCTAATTCATTCAGATTTTTCCTGGTTTGTCGATCGTTCCCAACTGGGTACATCCCTTGCTCTGCTTATTCTTCTTCTTTTTTAAGCTTTCTTTCGTTCTGGATCCCTCGAATTCGAGGTGATTGTTTAATTTCTGGACCTTTCGCTTTTGTTACTTTAGGAATCGAGGTCATTCCTTGTCCTTTCTTCCCCTCTTCTTGGACCCTTACTCTACTGCTAGAGTATTTCTCTTCAGTAGTTGGTGTCTCAACCCTTGGACTCTTAGGTATTCTTTACTCATGTTCTTCCCCTTTACAACTTTTTCAATCTTCCTTTCTCCTGTCCAGTCATGTTTGTTTCTTTTGAAGCCACTGGTTCGTCTGTCTCTCTTGCCATGGGTGACAGGTCTCCTGAAATAGAAGAGCATGACCTGGGGGATATAGGCAATGAGATAGATAACTTCACTGTGCTTGATGCCGAAGAGAGGACAGAGGTGCCTTTATCTTTACCAGGGTCTTTTTCGAGTTTTAAGCGATCTGGAAAAGGAAAGGCTAAAAAGGGTAGAACTGGGCCCTCAGGTAATGTTGAGGGATTTGAACCTGCTCCTCATGTTTCAGACCTAATAGGTCATAGTGAGGTTATACCTTATTTTATGAGTGTCCTCTCTGCGAGTTTTAACTTTCCCTAGGGTATGCCTATTAGTGCCCTTTTGTAGATATTAGGTATGACTCCNTCTCCTGTCCAGTCATGTTTGTTTCTTTTGAAGCCACTGGTTCGTCTGTCTCTCTTGCCATGGGTGACAGGTCTCCTGAAATAGAAGAGCATGACCTGGGGGATATAGGCAATGAGATAGATAACTTCACTGTGGTTGATGCCGAAGAGAAGGCAGAGGTGCCTTTATCTTTACCAGGGTCTTTTTCGAGTTTTAAGCAATCTCGAAAAGGAAAGGCTAAAAAGGGTAGAACTGGGCCCTCAGGTAATGTTGAGGGATCTGAACCTGTTCCTCATGTTTCAGACCTAATAGGTCATAGTGAGGTTATACCTTATTTTATGAGTGTCCTCTCTGCGAGTTTTAACTTTCCCTAAAGTATGCCTATTAGTGCACTTCTGTAGATATTAGGTATGACTGCGAGGTTCCTGAGAAGACTTATTTCTTCGTAGCCTCTCTCGAGAACAGTCTTAGGTTCCCTATGCACCCATTCATCAAATCTATTCTCCAGCACTTCAATGTTTGTCTTGCTCAAATCTTCCCCAACTTTTAGGGTGTCTTGGTGGGCCTTCTTGTCTTTTTTAAGAAAAATGAGCTCGGTACCCCTTTGATTCCTTTGTTCATGAAATACGTCAATGTCAGGTTCTCTTATGATGGATTTTTGTACATCTCCAAATGGGTGAAGACCCCAACCTTGATCACTGACCTGCTGAGCTCTCACAAGAATTAGAAGAAACTATTCTTCTATGTATCAGGGAAGGAATGAGAGTTTGACTTGAGTAATGCCACTGACACCTTTCCCGTTCCTCGTTCTCGGTTATGCCCTGACAACTTGGGTGAGTCCTTGTTTAGAAGAGGATTAACTCAGCTCATTTTATTTTCATATTTTTCTTGCTGACCTCCTTGGATTGTCTTAGGTATTTGTCCAAAGCCTGGAGCTGAAGATAGGCTTGAGGACTATTG